ATAATTATTTCCTGAGTAACAGCTTGTTATCCTCATTTCCAAATAGATGAATAGGCAAATACGTGTATCGTCGAGTCGGCTTAAAAAGGCAACTACCATTCAGTGTCAAAAAAAAAGAAAAAAAAAAGAAAAATATTGCTCGAAAAATGGAAAATATTATCGCTACTAAGAAATATTAGAAAATACTAAAGAAATTTACTAAAGAAACGAAAAAATAGTATTTTGAGCAGCATTGAGTTTATTCAAAGAATGAACGTCGTTGTCGAAGCGTCGCAATAAGATTACAAAGTATTTGAAATTAAATGAAAATATCGCGTAGCGTGAAAATCTTGATTACGTGCATCGGAGGAAGCTAAATGCAACGAAAGAAGACGAGAACGATAGCTTCTACTTTGTCGAACCAATCCGAGGCCAAGACCAGATGGTGGCAATATGGTAGCGTACGGAACAATACGGCCACCGATTTTCTCATAAACCGGTGAACTTTTGCACGAGTTTTTCGAAGAGCGAAGAAAACAGATGCCGCTCCGTAAAGACTAGGTTGTCAAGGAGAAAGTTCGTACGTTAAAAGTTCATTAAAAACGCAACTGTCTGAAGAAGAAACGAGAAATTGCACTCACTTTCAAAGTATCAAGCGCTGAGAAGACTTTTAATGAAGGGAAATAATGAAAGAACAACCTCTTTGACTATCAACAACATAAATTTCGTTTCGGTAATTTGCATTTTTATACGTATTCTATTGGGATGTGAGACAAAATGGTTCACCCTTTGACTAGTTCCTCATTTTCTTTATACACTTACTTACCCCTACTTTATAAAAGCAAATTTCTCTTCAGTTTCGTACGATAAATAAATACAATTAATACATGTATAAATATTTACACACGCAGAAAAACGCAAGTCGACCAACAAATAGAAAACAAATGTTTATAGGAAGAGGAAATACGGAGGGAAGTGTAGGTAGAAACTGCAAACTGTTAAATATGCATACAAAATGTGATTAAACAAGAGGATTTACTACCTACGTGTGGATTGTCTAACCAATGTATTACAATATACGATCTTATCGCGTGCGCTCTAGGATTCAAGGAACACACCTGCTATTTATCTATTGGATAATATCGATCTAAAACTTGCATCATCTACCTATTAAGCGAAGAATGCTTTTGATTTCAAAAAAAAAAGGATTGCTCAAATAATTAATAATAAAATTAACATACGAAGAAAAACGATCATAATGATGGAGAATATCTCGCAAACGATGCAGAAAGGAAAGGGACAATCGATACGGCAACAGGCAAGATGTTATTCGATAGAAGCTCGATCTTTTCTTCAATCTTTTATTCATAACACACAGGCGCGCGTCAAGCTACTTCATCTCTTGATACTCGTTTTCTTTTTTTTTTTTTCTTTTTCGTGCTTCCAACTACGCATTTTCAAGCTTGTATTTTTCTGCTCGGACGTGTTACTTTTCATACACGAAGAACGGATACATGAAAATTGACACGCGTCCCTTTATGCGATATAACGTGAATATTCTAGTTAGAACATTATAATACTCGTATAAAGTGGCAGAATTCTCTCTGAAATTCTACTCAGTGTAAGATTAAAATACAACGAATAAGAAATTAGGAATACGTTTTGTCTGAATTGCCCAGTGTCATATATTCTAATGTGAAAAGAATGTATACATCCGCTCAAAAATCTCAGGACAGATATTACATTTGTTTCAAAAGTCTAAAGAATTAGATGATACTTTATACAACAAAGAATTTGTCAAACATTGGATCACACAGTGGATCGTACACTTGATGAAAAATTGTCGGTACTTTCAATTCTTTTAACATCGTGAGAAGACATCGTACAATAAATTTTTGAAAATTTTTTTAAACGGGAGACAATCTTTGAAACCGAAAAATATTTTCGAGAAAAAAGTATCTTTACTTCCCCTCTTCAAAATGATGTAAAACCATCTTTGGAAGAAAACTCAATACTGTAAAAGAGAATTTAAAAGTAAATTTAGATAATGTACGAATACTTTTTGTATCCACTTGACACTTGACAGATTCCTTTGAGTTTATAAATTTGGAAGGAAATTTTAGAAAGTATACTATTTCATCAATAGTTTTATAAAATATATTATATTATCAATTTTTTTTTATTTTCGCAGTTAATCAATTTGAAAAATGAATGGCTTAAAATCAAAAAATCTGAAGACTT